TTTTCTTTTTTCTTTGTTTTTTGAGACAGAGTCTCCCTGTGTAGTTCAGGCTGGCCTCAAACTTACTGTGTGGTCCATGCTGGCCTCAAACTTGAGGGAATCCTCCTGCGTCAGCCTCTCAATTACAGGTGTGTGCCACCATACCTGGGTTCGTGGTTCGTTCTTAAGTATAATAGCTAAAAGAATGATTTTTGACATTACTATAATAGCTACCTTTATATGTAGCTTCTCTCTTAATAAACCAAATTATAGTTATCTTTTCAACATTCCTAATAGTTTATATTCAGAGATTTGCTCTGGGTATCCTATTATGTCTACCTGGTCAAACCTTTTATCCCTCCTGTTACTTATTTTGGTCTAGACAAACTATTCTAGAGATGACCTTGTTGACTTTCCTGTTAGTTTTGTTGTTTTGTTTTATGACAGGTCTTGCTGTGTAGTTCAGACTAGTCTTGAGTTCACTGTGTAGCCTCAAACTTGCAGTGATCTTTCTGCCTCAGTCTCGGGAGTGCTGGGATTTCAGGCATGTGCCACCACAGCTGGCCTTCCTGTTATTTTTAAGATAATTTTTTTCTAACAATTCAGAGGCATTTCTGTTTTACTTTTATTTCCTAAAGTACAGAAAATTAGTGATTTTAGTTTTTGTGCTTGTGTGATTCTTCATTTCTGATGTAACTCATCAGAAACAGAAGCTATGATAGTTTTTTAAAAACACTGGGCTTAGAGCCTGGTGCTCTGAGCTGAAAGCCACAGCACTGGCACTGCACGCTGGGCATGAGTTGAGGGCAAGTTTCTTGGCAGTTTTCAGCCTCTGCCTCCTTGTTTATGGAGTCAGGACAACAGCAGCATTTAGGCTGAGCTACTAGAAGGCAGGCTGATAATTGTGAGGCACAAGTAAGATCATAAATATGAAAACTGTCAAATCAAACGCAGTGTTGGATCGTCAGTACCGCCACCACCACACTCAATAGCAGTGCGGATTTTAATGGAAAGCTCCAGGATTACTTCATTTAGTACTCCGTACCGTCAGTGACTCTTCAAGCTGAATGTTGACCTCTCTCCCTGGAGTAAGCGTGAGACTTGCCACACAGGAGGTAGTCAGAAGCTTCCAGAAATCAAAGTAGGTTGTAGCTGTCGTACTGCAGTGATTCATACATCCTGACATAGAAGAGGATTAAACTGGTAGGATAGTCTGGTCTTCCCAGGATGTTAAAGTAGTGCTCATCAGCTGCTTTGCAAAGTAATAATGGATTTATGGGTGTGTTTGAGTGTTTTGCCAGTTAAACAATCACTGCAGTTTCCAAAGACAGCTACTTTTTTTTTTTTAAATCTTAATTTGCTGTTTAACAAAACTGGAAAGGACTATAGTTTGTGGTCATTCAGAAACTAAGGCTGCTGGTTCTGGAATTTTGCGTGCCAGCTATGTAACTTGTTTTTCAGGACATTATCCGGCATCGTAGATTTTGAATGTATACTGTTAGATGACAAGCAGCAAACTGGAATTTTCAAAATAAATAAATAAATGAGAAGGGATTTTTGTTTCTTCCTTTTTTTTTTTTTTTTTTTTTTTTGGTATGTTTGTTTTTTGAGACAGGGTCTCACTCTGTAGCCCAGGCTGGACTTGAACTTGCAGAGATCCTCCTGCCTTGCTTGGCCTTCTGAGTGCTGGGATTACAGGCGTGCGCCACCACACCCAGCAAGTTTTTTTTAAAGCTTCTCTTCATATACTTAACTTCCCTTCCTTCGCACTAAAAGTTTGAGATGATTTTTTAAGCTGGGTTTTTAAAAGGATCATCTCATGCCTTGTTTAGGTTGGCCTTTCATCACAACTAGAACATGCTTTACTCAAATGCTCAGATCATTTTCTAAAAAGGGAAGAAGAAATTGAAATTGTGCATCTGTCATGTTTTATTATTTTTCCTTTTCTTCTTGGCATTAACAGTTTTCTCTGGAACTGTACACTGTGTGCGCAGCCACACACAAGCACACATGTGCCCACACAGAGTTTTGTTTGTATTTTTTGATCATTGCTGAAAGACCTTCAATAAATACTTTAGTCAGAATCCAAGTAAGTGAAAATCCAAGTATGTATTTTTGTAAATGGTCTCTCCATGTCCCCATTCTTACTGTTCTACCTGCTTTCACTCCATTTTTATGTATCTCCTATAATAATATTCCACCATGGGTTAATTTCTACCGTGACATTTGTAGACTAGCTAACAGTGCCCATTAGCTTAGATTCCAGTGATGGTGAACCTTTTAGAGCCTTCAAAGATATAATTAGTCCACTGGGGCACGTGTACCATAGGCTCACCATCACTGGCTGTAGCACATGCTGTTGGTACTACAGACTGTTGATGATGGCATTACTGTCTACTAAAAATGACTGAAAACATGGCCTGCTATCTCTTGGTTAGTATTATTGCCTTGTGATGAATTTGATATATTCCTCAGGCTTCAGTGAGCAACTCTAGCCACCCCTTGTCGTTAATTCTTTCCCACAGAGCCTTAGCCCGCTGCTATAAATGACTTTGTGCCAAGTCAGTAACCTGAATGCTTCCTCTTACCTTATTGCTCCTTGGTTTCTGTCTTTCATACCAACCTTCTTCCCTTCCCTGTCCCCTCACATTATTATACCTTCCTGATGCTCACCCCATTTTCCTAGGAGCATTCCTGGGATATATTAGGGGTGTGTAGTGACCTAGTGGACCCAAATTGGGAGTCCTAAGACCACATTAGCACTTTTTTTCAAGTGTGTGTGGTGGTGGTGGGGACTGAACCAGGCCTTGTCCATTCTAAGCAACTGCTCTACCACTGTGTGTTAAATCCCTAGCTCACATTAGTACTTTTTAGTTCTGTCCTTACAGATAACCTCAGGTGTGGGACATGTGAAAGAGCAGCCACATTATTTGTGGAGTTTGTGCCAACATAGATAATCACTGGAGTTGGATTGCTTTATGCTGTAATCTTTTTTCCTTTTCAGACAGGGCCTTGGTATGTAGTTCAGGCCAACCTTGAACTGACTGTGTAGGCCACGCTGGCCTCAGACCCATGGCAATTGCCCTGCCTCAGCCACCTGGGTGGTGAGGTTACAGGTGTGCTTGACCATGTCCAGCTGTGCTATAATATTTTTTTTTTGTACCAGGAATCGAACTCAGGACCTTGTACTTGCCAGGTGGGCACTTGTGCCACTGAGCTATATCCCCAGCCTATGCTATAATCTTGACTCCAGTAGTCCTAGCTGTGTAGCTTTAACTTTTCCACACATCAGTTTCCTCTTTAAAGTGGAGATTGTAACAGTGCCTATCTCGTACACTCATCAGAAAGGATTAAGTGAGCTAATCTGTAGAAAGCGCTTAGCATAGTTCTTGGCACTTGGTAAACAGTGAATTATGGGACCTATTTCTAGATTTGGATCACTTTTGTGGTACCTGTAGAATGGAGAGAGGAGAGGCTTTATAGGGAATGTAATTTGTGAGCTAGACCTTAGAAGATAAGAGTCAGCATCAGTAAATCAAGAGAGGATTCCGGCAGGCCTGTGGCTGAGAGACTTGGATGGCATGACGTAGCTGGAGAGCACACAGGACTGTGACAGAGGGATGAAGGAAGGTGGGGAGGCAGGAGGAGGTGAAGCAGGAAAGATGACCAAGGGCAGCTTGTGGAGAAGTAAAGGCTTGATTCCCCCTCTGGCTCCTATATCTGCATAGTCTGGGTCCTCTGTTAAGCAGTCTCATAAATGTCTTTAACAGCCACAATAGGGAAAAAAGGAAAAAGAGCAGTGATTTGGCCTCAAATGAACTGGCATCTCTTTAAAGCTAATATTCCTCCTTGAGAGAACGTTAATTAAACATACGCCTTGCAAGATTCGTTATTGCTTGTGCTCCCCATTGGTTGTCTCATTCATTAATCTGCTGATTAGTAACCCTGAACTCTTGCATCCCCCCTTTTTTGCATTCCCTTTTTAATATACTGTGCTGTTCCCCCGGGACATAAACTCCAGGACCCGTCCCTGGCCTGCTCATGTTTGTTTTCTTTGCCCCTTGTGCCTGCCTCTGCTATAACATTTGTAGTATGTGTTAAGTAATCCTTAAGGTAACATTTTTATTATGTCATAAAAAGTGCATGGCAAATATATTATAACTCATGGACTTTGTTTAAAAATGAACGGATAATTTATTGAGTGTGTTCCATGAGCCTTGCTCCCCTCCCCATTTCAACAGAGACCTGCTGCTCATTTAGCCGAGTCTCCTATTGAGGGCTCCCACCCTGTGACACGCTGGGAAAGCAGAGCCATGGTTGGCTAGAAATGACATCATAGTTTATGTACTCAATAAAAATTTAATTAAGTCATTACAGGAATTGCAGTCATCATTTAACCCTCTGATTTCTTCTGTTTAGCTTATTATTAAACATTCAGTAATACCAGTCACGAATCCTGGTGGCTTATAAAATATCTGCATGAATTTTAATAGCTTAAATAAATGGGAAAATATGAGTAACTGATATAAAAGGAACTTTTCCCATGTGGTGTACAGTATGTATGGGTTTTTATAAAAGCAAAGCATTATGGAAAGGATAAGACTTTAATAAGCAAATGGCCCAACTCTACCTGGGAGGAGTTTCTCTTCTGTTAGGGGCATCTGTGCATTATGGGAAGGGTGCTCCATCTAAGCTGATCTGGCACTGGGGAAACAGGAAACCCGCACACCAGCTCACACGCTTAAGTGAGGGAGTAAAACCCAACAGGGACTCACCAGAGAGAATATCTAGCTCCTCTTGCTGGAAGGGCCCAGTGGGTGACTCCAGTAGTAGAGGAGCTACAGTCACTTATGCTTACCTGTTGCCTCCAGATCATGTGTCTGCAGATTGAGCTTCCACCCTCTTCCAGGAAGGGCCCTTTCCATGAGCTAATCTAGCGTGGGTGATGATGTCTGAAAACCATTCCTGGCTGAGGTAGCCTGCCCTCTCTCAACTAGAGGTGAGAGGGACAGGCAGCTTACCGGTCACTGGAGTTAGAGAGCCAGGAGACAGAGGAGCCACTTCTGCGCTTTGTTCTTCCTGGACAGCAGCCAGCCAGGATGCAGGTGAATCCCAAGGGGACGAAATGAGTTTGTCCGTACTTGGGCCTTACTGGAAAGCAAGAACTGATTATAAGTTAATGTGTTGGTGATCTTTGGAAATAGACTGCAGATGGTGAAGTAGGAAAAGTATCTGCCCAGAAAATGGATTCTAATCCTGGCTCTCACGCTAACTTGATGTGACCTTGGATAAGTCTATTCCACCTTTTAGATCTCTGTTCACTGTTTCCTCACAGGTATTGAGCTGGATGATCTCTGAGGGGCATTTGAACTCCAGAACTTACAGCATGATGCAACAAGGAAGCCAGCTCTACCGAGCAGGTCCTTGAATGTTTTCCATGGAGAGGTGCTCCTGCCTTAGTGGTTGACACTCCCACGTTGTGCTTTTGTGGCCCTAATCCCTCTTGAAGTTAGGAGAACAACTGGTGTGAGAGGGGAGAGAGCCTCAAATGGTTACCAGGAGGTCTGTGTTGAAGTCTCACATGACAGAAGGGATGAACTCCATTTGGCTTATTTCTCGACTCTTTTCTTTCAGTCCAGCCCACATGGAGGATGCTGTGGTGGAGGTTTGGTGGTGTATGTTTCTGAGATTTCAGAAAAATGGGAGGGGTTGAAGAGTAAGGGCCCCAAAACAGCTGGCATCATTGGACATGTGTTGTGAATGGTGCCCTTGGAAGGATTCAGTTAGAATGCCTGCCTTAGCCCCTGCCTTAGGCCAGACCCTGGACCAGGTGTTGGAGTGCTGAGATTAGTGAGCCTTAGTTCCTCTGACCCTTGATTAGCTTCCAGACTGGTGGGAGAGGCAGGGCCATAGCAACTGT